TCTCATCTAATTGTTCTAAGGAGCAACCTGAGTGTCATGATTTTTTCAAATCTCACCAAGGTGGCTCCAGTTTGCAGGCAAGGTTGCGACCATGCTAAATAGAAGCTAACTGTCAGTAACCCCTCCCACTTGAAAATCTAACCGAAGTGAGGTAAATATTAGATCAACTATATGAAATTTCCAACATTGAACCTTTCTCTTTTTTTTTTTTTTTTTGACCTATAAACATGGCAATTTCACATAGTTCATTGAGTTTTGGAAACTGGAGGAAAGGGGACCTCTGTTATGATAGAAAGTTTAGTAATTTCCAGTAATGTGGACAATAAAAAAATATATACCCAATGAATTGGATAATTTAGCTGGAGATGTTTACAGGCAAAATGTCTATAGTGTTGATAGGAAATGTAAAAACTGAAAGATATACTAAAGAAAAGACTGTTATACATGAAGGAACTGGGCATTTATGGTTTTGAAAATTCTCAGCCTCTCTAGACAACAAATGATGTCAAAAGTAAGAAATGGATCCTAAGCACAGATCAAATTCAGGGCATTACCAGGAATCTAAAGATAAGCTGAGGGCATGGCTATAATATTCTTTGTTAAAGCTTCAGAAATATCAAAGATGTTACCTCAGCATAGCATTCCATTTTTTAAAACAGCAGTCCCCAACCTTTTTGGCACCAGGGACTGATTTTGTGGAAGACAAGTTTTCAACGGCCTAGGGTTAGAGGGGATGGTTTCAGGATGATTCAAGCACTTTAAATTTTTGTGTACTTTATTTCTAATCTAAAGCTGCCACTGATCTGACAGGAGATGTCAGTCCATGGCCCAGAGGTTGGGGACCCCTGTTTCAAAAGATTCTTCAAAAATTTCAATAGTATACCTAACAGATCCTCCAAAGGGGTAATAGGGCTTCTAGGAAAACTAAAGGTGTTGTTCCTTAGCAAATTCCTAAGATAGACAAGGGTGTATCTCAAAAAATTTTTATGGGAGTAGCTTTTGTCTAATGGAGTTGGCCTCCATAAGATTCCCAGGAGGTGTACAAATCTTTCTAAAGAATTATACCAACAAAAAAACGCTACCAGCTTCAAGGAGAAAGAGAAAATACCAAATGAAAAGAGGGATCTTTAGATTCTTAAAATTCTACTTAAAGGAAGCAGGCTAAGATAACTACTTAGCTAGACACACTTGCTACTGTTTATAACAAAGGCCCAGAAAGAAAATCTGTGAACCACAGAGAATAAGTTTCAGAATGAGTAGGACTGAGTACTGATCAAGGAACTTAAACATTCTCTTGGCTGACTAACTGAAGTTTAAGAACAGAAAAAGTTATTATAAAGCAATAGAAATTAGAACAGTAGTTGTGAATGGTGGAATGGATGGTGGAAATTGACCGGAAGGCTGGAAATTTCCTATATATACATGTCTGTAGGCATTTATCAAAACCTATCAAAGTGTACCCTAAAGATCTTTTAATTTCTGTGTATGTACATTTTGCTTGAGTTAATAAAACATAAAAAGAAATTTAAAAATTAAATATAGGCTGCTGAACTAAGGCTAAAAGTTAAATGAAAAATCTAATTCAAATTAAATAATGAGGGATCTAGAAGCTCAAAAAGAGCAAAATAATTTTTAATAGAAGGAAGGAGTTAATAAAGATAATTAAAAAATAATGAATTATTTAAAATAGACCTAATAAATTCTGGTTCCTTAAAAAAAGACAACTTTTGACATAATGGTCAAGAAAGAAAAGAAAACGTAAATAAGGTTAAGTATATGACTGCAGCTATTTTGGAAATTTTGAAGATTACAACGGTTTATTATGTACAACATTTACCACTAAATTTGAAAGCCTAGGTCAAAATATTATTTGCTAAGAAAATATATAAACTACTAAAAAAACTTTTTTAGAGAGTGTAAACCCAGATTAGATCAACAGTCACGGAAGAAACAGAAAAATATTGTTGAAAAAAAATCTCCCTTCTGAGAAAATCAATACAATAAGATCAATTTAAAGATGAATTCTACAAAATCTGAAGACAGTTTCTTTAATATTTGAATGCTTTAAGGGCTGTGAAGAGATATGATGCCATCCAGTTCACTTCATAAAGCAAGTATAGTTATGATACTAAAGGCAGACATGGTAGCAAAAAAAGAGAAATCTTAAACTATAAATAAATATGACTTTTAACAGAATTTTAATGAAATAAAATAATAAAATATTTAACCCATTATATTTATACACAATGCCAACTATGATTATGTTGGCTTTATTTGAAATCACAAAGATGGCTGAAACTGGAAATTTAGTAATGCAAATTATTGCATTAATAAAGAGTAGCACATGTCATTCTGATAGTAAAAGGCATAAATAATATTCCACACTCATTTTTTAATGTAAGTATTCTTTGAAAAGTGGAAATGTAAGTAAACTTCTTTGTTATATGAAGTATATCTACCAGAAATCTACCCAAACATCAAACTTACTGGTAAATCTTTGAAGATTTCCCACTCAAGTCAAGAACAATATGAGTCTCATTAGTAATGTTCTTATTCAATACCTGATTGATAAGAATAACTTCCATTCTTACATCCTTGTCAGTGCAGTAAGAAAAAGATTTGAGTATAAATGCTGACTAACCTGACACTAAATTTTAATTACCCAAGGGTAACATGATTCTTTATCTAAAAAATCCAGAGGAATTAACTGAAAAGCTTTTATAGCTAGTAAAAAAGAAATTCAGTAAATTGGCCAGATAAAACTTATATCAAAAACTAAAGAGTATTAATCAGAACTCTTTCAACTTCCAATTCCTACCATATCTACAAACTTCTTTTTTTTTTTCCATTTATTTTTATTAGTTGGAGGCTAATTACTTTACATCATTGCAGTGATTTTTGTCATACATTGAAATGAATTAGCCATGGGTTTACATGTATTCCCCATCCCAGTCTCCCCTCCCACCTCCCTCTCCACCCGATCCCTCTGGGTCTTCCCAGTGCACCAGGCCCGAGCACTTGTCTCATGTACCCAACCTGGGCTGGT